GGATACAAACAGACGAATACACCTAAAATAAGCAGACAGATGGTTCTGTCACAGCTATGATGAAAAAGTTGCCTGCAGACGTTGTATTGGGGAATGACTTGGGCCAGATGACATCCGCATTTTTACATCAGGCCCCTTCGCAAGAGGCACATCCTGTGACTACCCGACAACAGGCTCGCACCACGGTTCCACCAGCACACTCTGAGGCTCAGGTAAGAGACCATGACTCACCCTCGACTCGTATGACCTGGGACACCCTGACCACCTTTGAAGCCGAGGTCCAGACAGACCCCACATTGCAGGTGTACAGGGATAGGGTAGACACTGACTAGGCTGGGCGGGAGGGGGAGCGGTAAATTTGGGAAAACAAACTGTTGTACCAGATAGCCGAAAGGACGATAGGGAGCTCGGTTACAGTAAAGACTAAACAGCTGGTAGTTCCCCAGAAATATAGACCCGAGCTACTGAGAATAGCTCATGACATCCCTCTTTCTGGCCATTTGGGGATGACCCGTTACCAGTGGCGTCTCTAGGATTCATTTTTCGGGGGGGCACATGGAGGGCCAGTGACAAAAGTAGGGGGGCACATTTAACCCCGCCCTCGTCGCAGTTTGACCCCGCCCCTGTCGCATGTTAAGCCACGCCCCCGACACAATGTGTTTTGTTTTTTTAATAATACCTGGTGGAGGATTCATTATTTTCCACCAGGGATTATTAAAAAACAAACACATTATCCTTGATACAGTGCCATAGTTGCCAACATTTGAAAAAAAATTTCCAAGGACATTTTGCAGCACAGCTATCAATTACTGTCTGGGTATAATATCCCTGGACAGTCAGTGCTCTCTGCATAATACAGGGTTGTGTGTATAATAAATTGGGACACTCAGTGCTCCCTGTATAGTGCTGCTCTCTGTATAATACAGGTCTGTTTGTGTATAATATCCCAAGACAGAGAGCAGCACTATACAGGAAGCACTGACTATCCGGGGATATTTTATACACACAGATCTGTATTATACAGATAGCTGAGCATAAACCCCAATCTCTAGACTACTAGTACCTGTCAACAGCAGCTCCCAGACGCGTGTAACAGGGCTAAAGTGTGCGGCAGCTCACACAGATTATTCAGCGGTAAAATGCACTCGCTGGCAGAGCCAAACTGGGAATCCCTGGGAATCCAAAGCAGCCCTGGAAAAAAAACGTATGCCATTCCTACAAGTAAAAAAAAAAAAAATATATATATATACATATATATATATATATATATATCAGTAAGCACACAAGCTCACTGACATGCGCAAATAGGCTTACTGACAGACAAAACTCTCTGACTCACACACAAGCTTACTACAGACACTCACTTGTATAAACAGAAGGCTCACTACAAAGAAGTTCAGGGACACACACACAAGCTCACTAAAGACAAGCTCACTGACACACACATGCTCACTAAATAGAGACACACACAGACTCAGCTGAGTCCATACACACACAGACTGCTGAGTCCATACACACAAACACACACACTTTGCTGAGTCCATACACACACACTCTGCTGAGTCCATACACACACACAGACTGCTGAGTCCATACACACACACAGACTCTGCTGAGTCCATACACACACACAGACTCTGCTGAGTCCATACACACACATAGACTCTGCTGAGTCCACACACACACACACTCTGCTGAGTCCATACACACACACACAGACTCTGCTGAGTCCATACACACACAGACTGCTGAGTCCATACACACACACACACTGCTGAGTCCATACACACACACACACTCTGCTGAGTCCACACACACACACAGACTCTGCTGAGTCCACACACACACACACTCTGCTGAGTCCATACACACACACACACAGACTCTGCTGAGTCCGTACACACAGACTCTGCTGAGTCCGTACACACACACAGACTCTGCTGAGTCCGTACACACAGACTCTGCTGAGTCCGTACACACACATAGACTCTGCTGAGTCTGTACACACACACACAGACTCTGCTGAGTCCGTACACACACAGACTGCTGAGTCCATACACACACAGACTGCTGAGTCCATACACACACACACACAGACTGCTGAGTCCATATACACAGACTGTTGAGTCCATACACACACACACACACACAGACTGCTGAGTCCATACACACAGACTGTTGAGTCCATACACACTTCACACACACACACACACACACAGACTGCTGAGTCCATACACACACACACAGACTGCTGAGTCCATACAGTGTGTGTGTACGGGGATAGTGTATGTGTGTAGAGTGTATGTGTATGTGGAGGCAGAGTGTGTGTATGGGGGGCAGTGTGTGGGGCAATGTGTGTGTAAGGGGGGCAGTATGGGGGGCAGTGTGTGTGTATGGGG